ACCGCATCGAATGTATAACCTGCGCCTGTACTCCGTTCGCCTGCGCGAATATCTGCGCTTCGTGTGACACACGCAATCCTGTCTGCAGAACCTGCCCTAATTGTCAAGGCTAGCAGTGGGCGTCGTTGGCTGATTCCGCGATCCAGTGGACGCTTGCTTATTAACGCTTCTAACGATAAATTAATGATGTGCTAGGGAATTGTTGCAACATCAATCAACGGCGCAGCAGGAATCGCCTAGCCGGCTTTTACTTTTGCTTCTCTTAACGCAGCAACCAGCCGTAGAATACTTCGCTTTATCGCCGTTTGCCGCATAACCATGCGTGATGATTTCTGTGCCTTAGATTATAAAAAAAATCCCAAAAAGTTTTGTGATTTTCTGTTTCCTCACATATACAAAAATATAGATTCCACAAGCATTCAAAGGTCAGAACAATTACTATATTATGTGTAGTCCGAAGTGAATGCTTATTATGCTGCTGCTGACTATTCACTGACCGCACACAGACACTATATTCTTCATGTTCAGTAGATACTCCAAATCGTGCGCTAATGAAAACACCATAAAGAGTGACTTCTCCGCCTTTCCGGCAAACGTGGAAAAAATTGCCGGAAAGGCGGAGAAGCTGTCCGTGCACCAGAAAATTAAGCTTTGAAAGTCAGAAAATCGTGCTACGCGAGTCGAAGCGCTTGTACAGCGTACCGCATGTACAGTATTGCCAATAGTCTGCACAACGATTACAAGGCAGTTCCGTTTCGTCTGTCAATATGTCTGTCAATAAGTTAAAGGAATCGGCAAAAAGCTGTATAATACATCGGGAGAAAGCCGCTTCACGTGTTCTCGTTTCCGACAGTTAAGCCTTGAGGATCAATGAGAATCCATCTGAAAAAGCTCAGAGCGAGTTGGGAACTGTCCCTCCCGTCATCTCTATCCTTGTACTGAGGATTCTATAAGGGTGCGAAGAAAATACAACATGAAAGCAGCAGCACGAGTAATTACGGTATTTATGTAAAAAATAAAGTGTCGCGCGTAGTTGTCTCGTTGCCCCGCTTCAGGTTTTTAGATTCGCTGTGAATGTCGAGATCCTGTAAACAAAACCGTGTCAGTTTTGTTAATCGCTCTTTTGGTTCGTGTATTTCTTAACGTTCCCGCGTAGCGCAGGCACAGTGACGCAAAACCTGGACTCTCGAAAATGGACGAATTATTGCCTAACGCCTGTTGTTTACTCGCATATGGCGAACCGAACGCAAGGTTATCACTCGGCGCTCTTTATTGCTTTTTCATCTGAACTATGTAACAGCTGAATTTGTTCACTGCACTTGAGGAAGGCATTTGTTTTGCAGATCCCGTTGAAGAAACTTGAGTGTGCACTATTCTACCTGCGTGAAAATGCTGCAGATCGAGTTTATATTACCAGTTGCAGCGCATAGCCATATCTACGACTACGAGTACTTACATGAACCGATGAAGCACTGATTCAGTACGACACTACATACAGCGCCCCAAAGGAGCACTGTCAACGGGGTCGAATTGTCCAAAAACAGCGAGACAAATACTTTAATAGGCAATAGCTATCAAAATAACACCAGGTGCAAACTCGGATACATTACGGCACAATCGAAATAATTTGAAGACTGAAAAAGCAACCAAAAATCTCCTTCCATCATGGGTGAAGAATTAACTGAACAACGAACCCCACATGTTCGACTGTGACAGTTACTGTGGTTAATGTGACTGTGAAATGAGGACCGGGTATCGTACATGCAGTAAAATTATTAGGATGGTCACCATGTTATGGTAAGTGACTGCATAATCGGCAATGAACTGCAACTTGGCTATGATTAACAGTTTGGCGAACAAGAAAGCCGTGCTAAGAAACACATTTATTTTCTGCAGAATGCAATTAGGAACATAAAACAGGAAAAGCAGAAACATGGAATGATTATATGGTCTGTAAAAATAAGTATCTGCTACATTAAGGGACGAGGCATACCGTGCAAACTCCGAGCAATAACACATTGGCATTATTATAAGCAATTTAGGGACATTGGAAAAACACTCTATCAGCGGAAACCGGGATCTCACTTGCCGCTCTGACAAATGGCGCAGTTCTGGCACAGGGGAAGCGTCGGGCTGCATCCACTGCATACCTGGCCGCAGATGATGGCGCCGCCTGGACCCGAGAGAATGCTAGGACAATCGCATTGTTCGCATAGCGCTGGGCCTCCTGGGACAAGGCAGAACAGATTCCGGCAGACATCCGCACAGTTCTGCTGCGCCATGCCACTGTGGACGGCGGCCATCAGCAGTGCAGCGACGAGAAGGACGCGCATATTGGACAGGAAACGGTTAAACAAAGAGCTAGATTTAGACAGTTGAAAGTTGCGAACACTGACAGATTAATATGCCTAACGTATGCACAAGCTCATTATATACCGCATCTTTTTATGGCTGCGGAATGACGTGAATGAAAGACCTGACACAATGAAGTGGGTTCTGTATCCACTAGTCCGACCACGTCCAGTCGGATAGAGCGACTCTGTCTCAAACTGTTACGGTAGATGGTAGAAGATTACGTTGATCTGGTATGAAGTAGGAAAGGAAAAGAAGAAGAGGTCCGGGTCCTGCAAACACGAGAAATACACACACGACGGAGAAGTATACGTTACCTGTCCGACGCTAGATGTTAGCAGAAGCGATAAGAGAAATATCCATCAACCTGGCGATACAGGGCATGAAGATCGAAGAAGAGACCGAAAGGTCACGGGATGCAAGTGGGATCAAGTGGGTAACCTGTTACGTCACGAGACTATCCGAAGATGATAATGCACGTCGACGAGATAGAGGAATGACCCCTGACAATAGGTGAAAGGTCACCCAGAGGTCAGTTTGAACAGCCTCACTTGGAAAGAGAAGACCAGAGCAAAAGCCTGAAGTTAATCAGATCGAGTAACAAGACTCTACTTTTGTTGGGATTACAACTCTTGACATTACAATGGGCGACGAGCGCCTTATATAGCCCTGGGCACCGCAAGTGCTGGCTCTTCGTACGCGCAGGTACGGGTCTGAGAACAATAGGGATATAAACTCTAGCCAATAGAAGACATCTAAGAACACGTGGACTAATCACGCCGCTGCATCTCTACACGTGGACTAATGAGAACAAGAGGTCAGCTAGTACACTAGAACAATAGGTTGAGCTCGTTGACCGAAGCGCGGTCAAGTCGAAATGGCAAGTCGCGGTCAAAGTTCTCTGCTGGGGATTTCTAAGAAGTCGAAGTGGAGACTCGGGGTCAGGACTCGCGTAGAAGTTGTAGTAAAGCCTAAGCCTTAGTGGTAGGGGTAGAAGTAGTAGAGTAGTACGATGTGGACGGGGCTGGTACGCCCGTACACGTCAGGAAGTAATGCCCTGCCGCAGTTGGCCGAACAATAACCGGATTGAAGTGTCCGCTCCCAAGAATTGTTTGGCATTTATCCAGGGTTGTTTTGGCCGCCGGTAGTGTGTTATGGAGAAGCGCCGTTCAACAACAACCATTGTCAGCGGTTGCAAAACAGCCGGAGCGCATTGTTATAGCCTTGTTTACTGGTTCTGGCGCCTTGGCGCTTTTGTTGCCGAATGTGTTTATTAGCTTAGCAGTTGCCTGGAACGTGAATATCGTAATATTTTGTCAACAATTTTAAGCGGGACAGACTCCGGTTAACCGCACAATTCGCAACGAGGCCATTAATCCGCCGCGGCCGGACATTTCATCGACCATGATTTTAGTTTAATACAGTTGTTTTCGTTAGAGCGCTCTTCTCCGAGACCGAGCTGTGGGTCAATGTGTTTGTGCAACGCACTACTCATTGCAGCATTATATGGTTCTCTAATAAGTGGTAAAAGTCACACTGAGACGTCGCTCCGCAAAACGGTTACGGAAGCTAATTTTCCGTTGCAAAGGAAGTACGCCTTTTGAACAGGCTGATCCTCAGAAAACGAGATATCTGAAAAATAACACAAGACAACATAAAATCACAAAAAGACGCGAAATCTAAAACGTGTTATTATTATTAGCATGTTACACAGAGCCATTTTAATACAGGCATCAGTGCCGCATTACGATAAGGCGCATTTTTAAGTAACACTTTTTGTGAAAAAATTTAAAGCAGCGTTAATTTTGAATGGTTGTTTTTATGTCACATACGTTCCACCAAAGAACAGGACTGAATTACTCTTGAAGGTCTCCAGCAGACACTGGCGAATAAGAACATGTTCGGAAATATCTCGTGTAGTTCGGTTAGTAATATTAAAAATTCAACTAATATCTACAGCTAAAACATTTTCCATGCCTCGTACACAAAGAGGATTTTCATTTCCCGAACTGTAGCTTAACCATCGGTTGCATCCGTTCCCGTGGTACGGGAAGCTGTGATGCCTTGTAATGCCACAGGGCATCTGCTTACTAGCAGTGGAAGTTGCTTGTTTGAGTCTCAGACCTCATGCCTCAGACCTCAGTCCAAGCTGTCATAATGCCTATTAACAAAAAGTTTTATGCAGTGTTTACAGTACAATTTTAAATGCCATCGGCAACAGCTTCCTCAAACCGAAATAATGGTCGCTAAAAATTTAAATGCCCGACAGCTAAAATCTGTCTCTCTTCGCGATTTGTGTGCTTAACCGGAGCCTTTCGCGCTCCAGTCGAGCAGTAAAACATTTGCCAAAATATTATAATATCCAGGATGCCAGCTCCTAGCAAATAAACACATAATGGAATACCAGTACCAATAAAAACGCCCGGGCGACCGACCAGCAAATACGATTATGCAGCGTTATAGTTGTTTTGCAGCCAATAGCAGGGTTGCTGTTGAACGGCACCAACCCATAACACACTACCGGCGGCCAAAATAACTCTGGATTGTTCTTGGAAGCGGACACTTTTAACACGCTTATTGTTCAGCCAATCCCGCCAAAAGCTCGTTTTCCGCAGCCAATAAAATATGTCATATATAACCTGCTTTAATATACATGAATTTAAGAAGTCAGTCTGCTTTGTTTTATCCCGTCCCGTGAGTTCTGTAATCGTTGTGACTGTTTTAAACGTACTCTGTCCAATATGCGCGTTCTCCTCATCGTTGCACTGCTGCTGACCGCCGTTGGCAGCGGTGTCTTGGCCCGTGACTGTGCTGCCACCTGCGTTGCCTGCCTGACCAAACCCAACCGTATCGAATGTGTAACATGCGCCTGTACTCCGCAGGCCTGCGCGATCATCTGCAATACGTGCGATAGACGGAATCCTGTCTGCAGAACCTGCGCCAACTGCCAAGGTTAGCAGTGAACGCCGTTGTCTAATTGTGCTGTCCCGTCAACCTTTATAATTTTGTATTGTGCAAAGTAGCTTCCGTACAGAGTTGCAAACGGACCAAAACGGTTCTCGCACGCAAGCGTTACATTTACTTATACAGAATATGAAGCTAGAAATATTAATAAGCCACAGTATAAATTAACGGCCGTTCACCGTTCTTAGTCACTAGGTATTGCTAAAGCGATTTAACGCAATATTGTATCGACAGGTTCCGGTCATGTTGAGGTCGATGAGTCTTCGGCGTTGGTGGTGAAGAGAGATACAGCAACGGAACTGGAATTAAGAGCAGCATTTAAGCTATTCGACATAGACGGTAACGGCGTCATTATTACATCTGCTCTTGGAAGCCTTCTTCGCGCTCTGGGATATGACAACATTACCGAGGAGGAACTGAGTGAAATCGATACCGATGGCAGTGGCACCATTGATATCGACGGTAAGCAGTAATATTAAGCAACGCCTTGCAAATTTATAACAAACTCAATTTACAGAGTTTCTGGCATTCATGACCGCTGGCTGAAAGACGACTTCCTTGTAAATAACCTAAATGGATTGGGTAAACGATCATCTGTTACGCAAAATAAACCCGCGCTGGTGGTGCTTTGTTGCGTACACTACATCATTCTATAGATCCATATACTGCTATTTAACTTTAACCTGCTGAAGGAGACGACCTTGCGAAATCGTGGGATTGTCATCCAATAACACACATCCTTACATGTTCTGATCCCTGTATAAGTCACTCCAAATCAAATTAAACTTTTATGCCGTCAGATTTCCGTGTTAACTAATTTACGATCTCGCCGTCACATGGACGCATCACGCAGGTATACCTCAAGGCTGTCTTAAAATCGAAAACATTAACGACCACTCTTTTTAAATGGATGGTGAAAAATGTTTCAGAATCTTTCTTATTGTTACTTTAAATCTGATAAACAGTGGAGGGGCAAACATCGTATGCAGGGTATTAGGGTCAATAATAGTGTGTAGTTGCATAACAAAACAGCATCCACCTGGGTTTTGCATTGTCGCAGTTGTTTTGTTCAGGAAAAAGCCGTTGCGCTTCTAACTGGCGCTGTACACGACGCATTAAGTAATCACATTATCTAAATTCGGTGAATACTGCCCGCCAGTTATGCTGGCTCACTTAGAAAGGGCTTTAGTACATTCGTTAATGTCCAGCTGTGGCGCGAAAATACTAAGCAATTTACCTTACATCATTGTTTCGGTTAATTGCAGCACCCTATCGGCGCCACAGCTCCAGGCCTTCTTCCAGTTCCAGTTCCTGAAATTCTGGTTTTGTTTCCTGCATAAGAGACACAATGCCTGGTCTTTCGAACAGACAAATCACTACCTAATATGTATCTACGGTAAATGAAGAAAATATTTTCAGGTCGTTAGATACATATATCTATAATGGAAATTATCTTTATTAAGGAAACGGTGGTCTGAACTCTAAGCCGTCGGTTTAGGTTGTCGTGCGGCGTACAGCGCCTGTTAAAGCGGACATCGATAGTTTGTACCACGTACAAGTGATTATGTTGCATAAATATCCGGTTGTCCAGAAAGGCGAATCGGCTCCCTACAGTTTACTTATCGTTAATGCTAGTAGGGACACGAATAACCAGGCCATTAATATACGAAATACCATATATATTTTATATATTCATTTTCATTTGGGCATGCAAGAGAAACTACAATACAGATATAACAACTCTTTTACTTAAAAAACACAATGAAATTTACGTAGAAACTGGAAAACAGCATACTGGCTAGACTCGTGCAAGTAAAGTAAAGCCCTGATACATCGACCGAAACGATGCACTGCAGTTGTAGTATGCATTCACAATAATAAGATAATACAGACAAAACACGAGGAAATTCTGCCGGAAAAAACGGCGCTCGCTTTCCTGTCTGACAGTGTGGGCAGGTATTGCATTGAGTACTGGCGCTGCAAGTTTTGCAGGTGACTGAGTACAACTCAGTGATGACGCCTTCATCGCCACCGGAAGAAAGGCAGCGCACTGGCACTGTGCGCAACCGAGGGAGTGGTTGGGACCTTGCACAGGTTACACAATTCTGCATCATGCTGTGGCGGCAGTGCACTCGTGTGCCCGAGACATCTCAGATATTATGCCCGCAATGTATGCAAGACACAGACTGGAAGATACTGTAATTCGCTGAACGGACAAGACAGCAGTAAATTGTTAAACACAACTACCACATCCCTGCCGCGCCCAGTTATGGCACTTGTGTGAAACAATTCTGTCGCTTTGACTAGTAAACTCCAGAATTTCCATTTAAAATTTTGCTCGATAGTTCTTGGTCTGCAGTACTTTTCATAAGTTCCTACGCAGGCAGCTAAAGCAAACTGAACTAATGCTACGTATTTCCCAATGGCTGCACGTGCGGCAACGGCTGTAGCAATACAAATTACTAATTTCTCGATCTTCATTAAACAGTATTTTAAAAATGGCGGCTTTGCCTATCGACAGTGCTGGAGTTTTCATGGAAATGTATAATCAAACAGGTATTAACACTACTGTAGAGGATCTTCTCCAAAGTTCCATATCTGTTTAATATTTCTTACTGTACGATCTGTTAGAATCGAGAATATGGCAGACTGAAGAATACACGTGAAAGAAAACAACAAAAAATTTACTCCAGTTCCGAGCTGGATTTTGCGATGGCACCGCCGCCGCCACGCCTCGTCCCTTTAGTAACTGCCAGCTGAACAGGAAAAGCAAATAAGAATCCCCAGCAGCCGAAACACTGGTGCTTATCATACACGTCAGGAAGTACAGGAGTCGTCCCATCCCCTGCTAAAGAGCTGGTCGAACACGCAGCTGTTCATTTTCGCTATTGCAGTTGACCCCAAAAACCGGCCGTATGCCAAACACGCTGATCTGATTTCCGCACCCAGTGAAAGGTAAATTAGGCGGAGGTGGAACCAAATTTCCTGCAAACATATTCCGCACAGCTCCCGCAATATCATCACATCTACCTTAATATCATTCCACAAACACACACCACTTTTTTATTCAAGAGACAGTTTAAGAAACTGAAGGAACCAACGCGGTTGTCTTACCGTTAATGAATCCCGGACTTATATTCGCCCCAGTCGCATCCAGTCTCCCGGCGGGACCGGCGTGAACGGTAGCTACTAAAATGGCAACAAGTACGATCAGTTTCCACATGGTGATGTGATATCTGGTCCAGTGTTGTGCAAACGATATTGCCACCTGTATAATATAAATACAGTAGCGGACGTTTTAGCGGCGCACTTGTTTTCTTATTTCAAAGCCGTAGCGACACCATCTGCAAAATAGCTGCGGGCTGCTTGTGCTAGCTTAGTACGAGTGTAACAAAAGGTGTTTTTCGAAGACCACTGCAATACTCGGTGACTGTGAGGCCAAAACACCGAGCGATTTATCGTACAGTGTATGTTTCTGTTGTGAATACGATATGTACGGAAGATATCAGAGACTCCAAGCGTATTTCCACTCGGGAAATCATTATTTTGATTTATGTTTAAGCGTAGCATCCCGCCCACGTGGCTCAAAATCGCACACGAGAAGACAGCTAAGCGTTACCAAAGATTTTTTATCGGTGCGGCTAAATAGAAATAACACAATCATATTCCGTAAGGGAAAACCATACATACGGTAGGTACTATGCGCAAGAACGGAGGAAAGCGCAGGTGTTAGGAAAAATCTATCGAATAAAAAACGAAGCACTAGGTGTGCTAGGAGCAGCCGCGAAAGGCAGGGTCAGTTTTTGTTTTGGGGAATGGCTCAAATCAGCGGAATGAGCACAGAACTGTCAGAACATACAAATAAATGCCACCGGCCTTGACACGCAGAGTGGAGAGTGTAGTGCATTAAGGCTTCGCATGTCCACTCGAGACTGGATGAACTTTTTGAACGTGATTCAAAAAATCTCGGTACTGTTTCTGGCAAAGATCATTTAGAGCTGAATAATATGTCAGATGCATTTTCACCGAGCTCTGGGGACCGGGTTCGGAAAGCATGATTCGGCCACGTTGGCAAACGGTCACGATGGACGCCTGTGATTCGCTGTATGTTGGGTCATCATGAACCACTGTTTCTTCTGCTTCGAGCACATACCTGTGGCAGTTGATAACGAATTGTCGGCAATAAAGTGATACATCGCCTCTAATGTACAGAATGGTTGACTTGGTTTGGTTCAGTGGTGTTTGCGAAAAGTGAACTTCTACATTTGCACAGGTGACAACTAAGTGAGCACCTAGTGGACACGGTAAATAATTTTCGATCCATGTTTTTACGGGAATCACCGCTGAAATCGCTGTCCGTGTGATGCTGTCTAATACTGGATTTGCAAAAATGTGTAATCGTGCACTTAAACAACGGTCGATTGTACATGTATAAGTATCGTAATAAGTTGCTGCTAAGTGTGGCTGCTAGTTGCATGTGTGGACACAAGTGAAAAGGTACATCAGACAACTGATTTATCAAGAAATCAGTTGAACAAAAAATTATCGAGCTTGGAGAGTTGCTAATAGGCTATTCAAAGGCCCTCGCTGATCCATGAAACAAGTCCCGGAGCAAGCAAAGCGCCAAGTAGTCAGAATGGAGTCATATGCTCAAAACTTTCAGAATGCGAACGGTCCAGCATTTAGGCCCAGTAAATTAATTAGTCTTACTAATCATATTGTGTTAGCGGTTGCATGCTGCATGCTGACATCAATAAGCCTTCAGCCGGAAAACAACGGAAACCCGATCACTATCGCTTGCGCTTCGTTCCTGCAGATTTAATGATACTACTAGTCAACACGCTTTATCGCTGATGTCAGATATTTGGTTGTATTATGTTCTTATTCCGGTTGTTTGCCAACTGCAGGAATTCTAAAGAGAATATCTGGGCTTTACGTAATCTGTGTTTTATCAATTTCTGCATAACACAGCATTTTTGAGCTTATACGTGAATTTGGATTGCCTCTAATTTCGTGAACAAGCTTTTGTGAACAAGAGAAATTTCACCAGGGTACATACACAAATCGACGCTGCTGAGAAAAAAAAGATCTCGGGTTATTCGACATCTGTATGTCTTACAGCTACACCGCTTCGTAATTTACCATGACCGTCATGCTCCTGGTCATGCCCCGTCGTTTCCAGCTATGCTTCGTGGTGTGGTGCTTAATGGCTGCTGGATATTTCGGTCAGCATTGCAAGAAAGTTTATAGCCGTTATATCTGCACTTGCAATTCAACCGCGTTTCTTGATTATTCTCGCGCGGTAAACTTCGACCAGATTCCCGACGAAGTGATGGACTTATCCTTTACTTCCGCTCAACAGGGCATTTGGCCCTATAATCGAGGGGATCTTTTGCATTGTAATATCCTGCGGCACGAGCACACGAGCATTCCGTTCACTAGAAGCTTGACAAAACTTTATCTAACTGGATTTACTGGAGAGCGCCATCAACGACCGTCATTCAAACAATTTGTAAAGAACGTGCAAAGTGTCATCGAGTCCCTCACCATAAATTTTTGCAAAATCGGATATCTGGATTCGCATTTCTTCGGAAACTTCAGGAAACTGGTCTACATTGATTTGTCGAAGAACGACATTTATGATGTATCCATTGACACTTTCCAGAATATGGAGTTGACTAGTTCGAGTGGTTGGTTGGACCTCAGTGAAAACGCTTTGCAGGAAGTTGATTTCCGGGTATTCGAATCACTCGAATCTTGGATGGTAACATTCCCCAGCAGTAAATCTTAGTAGTAGTTGTAAATGTTTTCTACGACTAAATAAAAAAATATCGGCTTTCTTTTAGGATGGACTAGATCTTGACAAACAGTATCCTAAATTGCGCAAGTTATATCTCAGTGGCTCCAACTTTGAATTAGCAGCATTGAAGCAAGTTTTTCTTGTTGAGAACGATAGTTCGTCGATGCCAGTTGAAATTTTGCAATCATCGCCGCAACTCCAAGGGTTGGCTCTTCAGGAAAATAAATTGTGCGACACCGACGATTGCTCCTGCTGCGAAACCCAAAGGTTTCTGAATTTGCTCGTCAATACATCAGCCAATCAAACGGAATTCGACTTTGATTGTGGTTTGCAGACATGTGGCCGTGGAGTAAATCACCGGTCCCAGATGCACCTACCACCGTTGCATCTTTCTTGTGAGTACGGAAGAGGTCACTAAATTTAAATCAGTTCCACCCAGTAATAAATGATCATTTAAAAATTAAGCTTAAGTACAAGATGATTTCAAGTTAGCAGAACTTTTCGTAAGTATTTGAGGTCCGAAGTGTACTCAACCTGATCCGCTTGATATCCAGTGTGAGAAAGAAATAATCTCGTTATCACACTCCAATTTGGAAGCAACAGATGCTCTACTGATCCTTTTCGCCAGCGATTTCTCTGTGCGCTGCTACACGGTGTTTCACGACATTTATCACAAAACACTGGAACTGGGCAACGTCTCGCAACCAGCACCGGGCTCTTCATCTGCCGTAACGCTCTATTCTCGTGATAACCGGCAGTCCGTGTGGGGACCAGACCCTGACGCTATAAACCCACGAAAGGTCATTGTTGACACCGATATCAGTCCACAATGTGACAACATCCGTGTGAAATTTTTGCAATTTGTCCGCAATGACATTTTAACCGACGAAATCGACACCACCGTGTCTTCTGCAGCACCGGCAATAATTTCCATTCAAACCTGGATTGCACGTCATTTGGTGTGCCCGCTTGGCGCTCCGTTACATGTTAATTGCACGGCGGGAATGGTTAGTTTCTCTCAAAGTCCACTCAACGCCACGAAATCAACGATTCTGCACATTCGAGGCGACGCATCGCTGCGTTGCAGAGAATTCGTGATTCAGTGTCACGAATATTTGATGAACGCGCAGGGGACTGCGGTGCAGTTTGATGCAGAATACTGTCGGTTACAAGACGCAGTTGTCGCAACGTGTCAACGTGGTCACATTTCCTGTCCGAACCGAATCGACGAAACTCTGCTAAGACGCAGCTGACGTACTATTCTGCTCCCAACAATCCGTGCCAAGCAAAATACCGAGTCTTCCTCAATCACATTCAGATGGTTCAGCTAAATTTAGCGCTCGCTGGTGCAGACTGACGAAACGCAGATCCATGACGATGACGAAGAGAACTTATGCTTTTTCAATTTGGCCGAAATGTGTTGGTCAACAAACACTACTCCACTTCACTATGCCTGGCTGTTGTGCATATACAAACAATATTTTTAAAAGCTAGCTGTTAAATGCAAAATTACGCTTCTCGCACAAGTTGCAAAACTTTAGACTGCAGTGCATCAGAGTACTTGTACTGATAAGTGATGAAGAACGGAGAAAATTCCACAGCGGTCAGGTTGATTACAGGTTATACGAGTACGTTATTTTGGCTTCTATCAACAAATGTGTTCCTGCTGAATGAAGCCAAAACATAATGAAAACATGACAGAAGTATGATCAAAGCATTGTGGAAGCGCTAATAAATAAACAAACGTGACCAGTTGAGGCAATTTTTTGACGAAACAACTGTGGCCGGCAACAAACTTCCTTGCCATCCTCGGCCAAAATGTCCGGGTGACATTTTTGCTGTGTTCGCCCTGTCATTATACCGAAAACTGTTACCATTTGTCCAAATGATTGCCGTCAAAGACTTATAACCTGTATGGGATCATTGGTCTTCATGTCAATCCATACGTAAACATGAAAAATTTTTAGATGTCCGAAACAGTGCTACTGTTTCGTATTATACGTACTTCATGCCGTATAGTGAAAGAGACAAAACGCACTTTTAAAGGTTAGAGACGAAAACAGAAAATTTGAGCTTCCGTCAGTAATCTACGTTTCCCATATTGCGCCGACACTGTATCAGTGATCTAGGTAATATGATCTAGAATGTTGAAAACAAAACAAGATGGGAAACCGCGCAGTTAAAAATCCAGATGACCTTAATGACCGCTTCAAGCGGTTGGATGAAATGGCAATTCCTTGCATGCATTTAACAAATGTGTTTGGAATCGACTAAGGCGCAACGTTTCGAAGTCCCGCAGATCCGCTGTTGCCCAGTAATTGTCACGCAAAACATTTCCGTCGAAGGCATGTCTGCAAACAAGAAAAGTAACCGTAATGTTGCAGTTCTCGGTTTTAGTGGAACGTGGCCAGACTTATTCACTTCTGCAGGAATTGTCGGAAATGCTGCCATCCTTCTGGATAAGCCACTACGTCCGCCATCGCGATCCAATTTTGACGAATTTTCTCGATAATGGTCTCCACGGAAGGTAAATTCTCTTCTACCAGTGCCATGAAGTAACGCAGAATATCTTCGTCATGCAGACCGTTAGTGTCGTGGAAGCGCATGAAGGACAGTGTCACCGAGATATCTTCTGAATGCCACGGTTCAAAAGGCTCAAGAAAATCCCGAGGGCAACTGCAGAAAATATCTAAAATACTGTAGTTGCAGACCAACAGTTGCCGGCAATAGGGCGCTAGAATCGGCAGATGAAATAAATTACGTTCCATGGAAAAACGACCACAAAATAGTTCTGACGGTGCAACGGAGTTTTTGATGATGATTGTGGGTAACTCGATCTTTTTCAATCGGAAAAGCGCCGCCATACCGTCCAACTCATCGTGAACGTCATCGCCGCGTCGCCCTAGATTTAGCAGCGCCAGCGTCCGCGTGGAATGCTTGACGCTGTGATCAATGAGGCCGCTATAATAATATTCCTCGGTTTCCGGCAAGCCTGCCGGATGATGTCGTATGGTCTGGAAGTCGACTATCACCAACGTCGAGTTAGAGGCGTCTATTGTTGTCTTCCACACGTAACACACTCTGCAAATTTCTGTAAGGTTTATTTGAAAATCTATAAAGAAATCTCACTTTCTACCGCCAAGCCGAAACTTGAAGAAAAAATTCCTGCCGATTTAAGGCTGAATCTCCATACTATAGAATATAGGATAGTCATAAGAATTACAGTTAAAATCTATCACTTCTTCTACTGGAAACCTATATCACTACAGCATAGCTGCATTGGCATATGATGTGGAAGAGGTGTATAGGTATACTCTAGGTGTTATGGGAAATTTGATAGGTATGGACCTTATGGCCCACTGGCTATAAGTATATGATTATAAGTATGTATTAAGTACAGAGTACATTTACAGAGTAAATCGCTACGTTTGACAATGACGCAAGGCGAGTCCCATTGTTCTAGACGTATAAGACTGATATACCTCTGTAAGTAGCACTACCTACGACAACATTTTCCAAATTGTAGTCAACGAGTAATAAAGGTATACAAAGCAGCAAGTAAATGGAAAATAAGTTCAAATGCTGAGGATATACCCAGAGATGCCGTGTCAGCCTTTATTTTGTGACTTTCTTACCTTCTCACTAGAGCGCGAGAACGGCAGTCGAGCTGCAAAAGTACTTCCGGCAAGATGGTGATGCCAACCTTTCCTGGCATGTACGTAATCTTGTCTGCGAATTGTCAGGCTTTGTTAACAGCCAACAACTATAACGATAGCAATAAATACTTAAAGCATGCTACATACTGTACCTATATGTTTAGTAGCGCTGGTTAGCGCTCGCTCGTGCTCGCTGCTAAGTTTTTACCTTCCACTAAGGAACGTTAAATTCGGATAGAAATTGGCTGTTGTATAACCGAAAAACACCATTCTACCCTGGTATCACAGCAAAGCGATTTCCACGTATTTGCCAAAATTTAGAATTGTTCGCTAGCAGCCTAGAACGTCATGGCGAGCACGGCAGGAGTGCTAATCACCGAGGCGCGTTCGGAGGTCTGTACATCTAGGAAGCCGCCATGCCGAGCGCAAACTTACTGGACTAACCTGAAATAGTGAATTGGTCGACGGTTTGATGGAGAGCAGCCTGCTCGCAGGTAGGTCGGCAACAATAACTGGCTTTTGTATACTCCGTTGAAAGGTTTCGGCATGAACATGGCGCAAACCACGTTCCGGTAAGCTCAGCTAAAGTCTGCGGAGACGGGAAGCCGAAACCATTCTGTGCTACCGCTATAAAGGCAAACAGTAAGAAAAGATCATTGCATTGTAGCGCAGTATATGCAAGTAATGCAACTGAAGTACATTCCTTCGCGGACTCTGGCTACGATTTTCCGATAGACCGAATAGAAAGAAGTATGTCCATGCTAATTTGTTGCGTTCCAGTTACCTAGCATGTAGACATTCCAGCGCGCTTCCAATTCACGTTCGGTGTAACTGTAATAACGCACGAGATTCTCCGCGGCAGTTACCAGTCTCCGTTCGCAATCTGCTGAGAAGGGACAGTGTCCCGATAGTCCATCCTTATACATTCTCCACTGATTAATTCCCAGGAACAGCCACACCATCCTATCGTCTACCAGCTTCACGAAAAACCGATGCGATTCCCAACCGTATAACGAGTATCCGGCAGAGCTAAAGACCAACTGAACAAATCGCAGCATCTCGTACTCGCTAATTTTCCGAATGAACCGATTATGTTCCGATCGAAAAGTCAGTTTGATGATGGGTATTTCGTGTAGCCGTCCCCACAACGACGGCTGCTCAGTTGGTAGTTCCTCAACAATTTGCCTCCGATGTACTACATGTTGCGGTGCGGGTTCCCCGGTATCCTTATTCCGAACGACGTAGAGCAGTGCCACCCTGTCAAACAATAATCCAGGACGGAGAATGTATGGTCCGTTATAAGTCTTACGCACAGCAACGTGGACGAGGCTTATATTATCGATCTGTGGTTCGCAGAAGTGATGCTGCCATACATATTGCGAATGGATCCAGCAGGGTGCCAGCTCTGCACAGTCAAAATCCACAAATATGTTATCACCGTCAATATCCTGAATGTACGCCAGCATCCACACATCGTCACCGCGATTAATCAACACCGTGTTGCCCAGATTGGCCTGGCGGTTATCAGTATTCCTCTTTCCATGCGAGAAGTAATCCATAATTCCGTTTAGAGATCCTGATTTGGTGGGTCATTCGCTGATGTATAGTTTTTATAAAATTATACACCGTCTCAGAAATTAGCGGTACTTAAAATATCGTAACTGCCATCGAGTGCAGTTGGCACTGCAGAACTGATCCGCCAATGCGGAGCGGCTGCGCTAAACAGGACGGTAGCTGACATACCGGAACCGACCGGAGTATTTTCCTATTGGCAAACAGAGTGCAATTTTAACTGATGAAGATAATCAACAGCCGTCAGCCACTGTCTATGTTAACGTGACAGAAGTGTCCTTGATGGCGGTTTCCTAGATTTGTTTTTATACAAATAAATCCTGCATCCATATCCCATGGGTCCGGTTTAAAAAAGAATTGGGATTTGATCGTGCACCCTTTCTCTAGTACCTGTTGACTGTTACTGAGTGAATTTTACATGACCTTTGCTTTGCTGCGTTTCAGTTGTAGCTCACCCGCATTCTTGCCACGGTCCGAATATGCCCTGCTTAACAGAGTGCAAAGATATGGGATAGAGAATCTGCAACACAATATACTGTAAATAAAGCCTTGTTATTAGAATGTGCTACCTAAATGCTGAATCTGATTGCTTACAAACTGCGGGATTATGGTGAGGATAAGATTATTTAATTTTGTTTCCTCAAATCTTTGTAGCAAACGTAACTGGAGATTATCAAGAACCAAAACCCGGGACTGGACAATAATGTCTCAAAATCACCAAGAATTAGGATACAAAGCCATAACAGCATTACCCAGCCAAAGATCGATATGTCTCCCAAAGTTCGACGTCGAGGAGGAGCCGTCGGAGGATAATCGATTTTCCTCACCAGCTCTTCCGCAGATATTCTGCTATCGCTCTCTCGATGTAGACACCGCCGGATCCAGTACGCCAAGCAATACGGCACTTTTTTATTCACGAACGGCACATAACCATCGATTATCGGGGTACTATAAAGGGTGGGTGGGGTTTTCTCAACATTTTTTATTTCGCCATCTCTTTCTAATTGCTTTTTCGGGACTGGTTGACAGCATGCGGCCATTTCCAAAACGATGCAGCCCAAACTCCAGATATCAGTCTTCCTTCCGGGAGTTTCCGTTGGAAGTTCTGCAAATTTCCTTAACATTTCGGGTGACATGTAGCGATCGGTGCCGAGTAAATGGGTTACATCAGCAGAACGTGTAGCGCTCTCTTGCATCTGGACAGAATCATCTAAATCACCGATCAAAAGCCTTTCCGTTGAGTAGGGCAAAATATGCACAAGAATATTTGCAGGTTTCAAATCTCCATGGATAATGCCATTCCGGTGTAGAAATTCTAATCCTCTTGTAATATCTTTTACGTAGTGTGGAATTTTTCCATAATTGTTCAGGAACGATCCACTTTCCTGGCCTTCTTCAGGAGACCAGTAAGGTCACCTGAAAAGCAGGCACCTAGTTTTTGTGCTATGAGTTTCTGCCAGATACACGGACTACACGGTGTATAGTCATAAAGTAGCTTTTCGTGATGGCGATTAAAAGTGCTGTTGTTTTTTTTTTTGCTGTTTCTAAATATACGACTAGGTTACTTGTCAATCTAAGTGGGTTTCTTTAATTTATCTGTTTTCATCTAGGATTACTTTTTTAGTTTCCTTAAAAGGTGCGCAATTATTACAATCATCCCATTCCATGTTATCTTCTTCCAAATGTTGTTGGAATGCCGCGATAGGTGAACAGATATCACTCTGTGCAAGCTACTGGATCAATAAATAAAATACAAATATCAATGAGCTTACTTGAATAATAATCAATGACCAGGCCGACATATATTCCGCCCGATGATCTGACAATATCTGCACTGTAATACGCTACCAGATTATAATGTTTTATGTCTATGATGGCGCATAGTCTCGTTTCGATTTTCTTCGAATCATCAGGTTTCGACGGGTCGGCACAGTTTAAGGGCCGAATATTCGCGTTCAATGCGCTCAAAACCGATCGTGGCCGCTCTGTGTACAACACCAGAAGATCCCTTTCCAATAAACTCCTCTTTTTTATAGTCCCATTGCTTGCCGATAGTTGTTGTTGTGTTGATTTTACGTGACCAAAAATTGCCCATTCAAATGAAAGTGTGGAAGTAAGACGAGCAAAACAGTAAATACTGCCAGAGTGGCTTCAAATCGTGTTTATGTTATTATCGCACGCTAACGCACACTAATTGTGAGAGTCCTTAGAACTGCAACACTCAGCTTTGCAGAATGAGTAATCAAGAACGAAGCAACGTAGAGCTCACTGGCGACAGAAATACTTACGTTACGGGGCGATCAGTGATCACAATATCTATAAGCCTATTTCAGATTGCACGTGTTTTTCACTTTCGTTCAGTAGACCGTACGCCGTAACATAGGCCGCACGTCGGCGGACCGGAAACACTTCAGATATTACTTCAGATGCTTTACAGCTGCAGTGACGTACACTAACACTGAAATATCAGCCAGAAAAATTCAAAAATATTGTGCCACTGATTCTCACGAATATGCACGGTAAATCATCATAAATTGGTATAAATTCCAAGACGAAAATTATAATTACTCCTTCTATGCCACAAAATTTTTAAAATTATAACCCTGCCAGTATTACCTGCAGTTACTCCAACAGTCCTGATATTCCACAATAAATTTGTTATAATAATGGCCCATTCGTTCAATAAATTTTTACAAACTATCATCGCCGTGGATGAGTTCGAACCTGAAGAGATCGCCCTTTTTCTGGCGTTCCACGACCAAGAAAAATCCGAGCAAAAGGCTTCCAGAAAGAAATTCGCTCTTCAAGACATCTCTGATCAGCAGTGTGTCGACTGGTTTAGATTCCAACGCGAGGATATCGAATTATTGCGCAAGGAGCTGCTCATCCCGGATGTGGTGCGTACTGAATCCGGGTCGATTTGCGAAGGAACTGAAGCTCTGTGCATTCTTCTCCGTCGACTAGCATATCCGTGTCGCTATACAGATCTGACAATAATCTTCCATAGATCCATAACGGAACTTTGTATGGCCTGCCACTGGGTTATTGAGCATATCTATTGCCACTTCATTCATCTCTTGAATACCTTGGATTTGTGTTGGCTTACACGAGATGATTTGCAGGGCTTTGCTGATGCAGCCCTTGCCAAGGGGGCGCCCCTGGATAACGTTTGGGGCTATATCGATGGCACTGTGCGACCAATTTGCAGGCCTTCCGAGGGGCAGCGTGTAGTCTGGAATGCACACTATCGCCTGCACAGCATGATTTTCCAGTCTGTCGTTGCTACAAATGGCATGATCGTGAATTTAGACGGTCCGTGGCCAGGAAGAAGACATGATGCAGGAATTCTCGCTGATAGTGGCCTAATAGATAAACTCCGAGAAAAAATGGTGGAAATTGGGAAAAAGTTTATTTTATACGGAGATCCTGCTTATCCATCAAACGAATACATTGAGGCACAATTTCGAAGACGCATGGCGCCACTTCCGGAGGATCAAGAGCAGTTCAACGAAGGTATGAGCAGGTGCAGGATATGTGTAGAATGGGGATTTAACAAAATTGTGCAGTATTTTGCTTTTGTCGATTTCTCAAAGAATTTGAAAGTGCTGATGCAGCCAGTGGGCAAATTTTTTTTGGTAGCTGCAATTCTAACAAACTGCCACACTGCTCTCTATGGAAGTCAAACGGGAATTTATTTTGGAGTCGATCCTCCTTCTTTAAAAGAATATCTGAGGAATGTTAGGATTAATGAAGATTAATGAAAAATGGAAATAAACTTGTGCCGTTCTTGTTATTTACCCGTACAGAAAGCAAACATGTAGTGCAAAACACAACCACACAGCGGTACGACAAACACACACCGATACTAAATAATGAGATTCCAGGAACAAAATCTACAAATCACGAACCGGAAATGGGAAAGTTTTCTGAATAGAACCCATACCAAAAAAATCTCAAAAATTACAAAATTTGCGGCAGTATTTAGGAAAAAATACAAACATTTGACCGCTTTTCGCAGACATTTTGCCCATTCAATGTCTCTCCGTGAAGCGAGTTACCATCTGCGCCATCATGCGATTGTTCTCGTACAGCGCTTCCCGATCTTTTAATGACTGGTCCAGTTTTCGCGATTCCAGATCAAGCCGTTTTTCTTCGAGTCAAAGTTTTTCGCGTTCGATGTCTAGCTTGGCCTCCTCCAGTTTACGATCAGCCAACTTTTCATCCCGCTTATCGGTGAAATATCCCGCAGCAGCTGCTTGCCAGGATCCTTTTCGTTCTTTGTTGGGTTTTGATTCTTTTGCCTTCTGAGTCAGGTTGACAGCCGCGTTGAATTCATCGTCGGTGTTAGGTTCTTCCTCCGGTACTTGCTCCACTGTAAAATATTTATGTCGCTACTTATGTTTTCTGTTTAGTTGAAATTCCTCCTGGTTAATTATGAAACAGTCAACATTTTACTCACGCTGCTTTCGCTTTTTCCGGCTGTTTTTGGCTGCACACATAAGTTTCGGCTCATGACGGTCTCTTTTGTGATCTGCTTCAGTTTTCTCCTTTTCCTGGGACCTTGCGTGCTCTTTTTCCAATTGACAGATTTCCAGGAGAAGGATTTCTTTTTCAGTAAAATTCCCGTCTTCAGAATCTCACGTTAGCTTTTCCCAGTTCGGATTGTCTTTTTTGAACTTGGCAATCATCGTCGCGACATGATCTCGTATTGCCCGTGGAGTATGCAGTCCACACCATCTTTCTTGCATTCTTCATAAATGTTTTCCCACATTTTGCCTCTTTTGTTTGTCTGGATGCTGTATCCTGCGTGGAAGCGGTAAGACCGAAGAACTCCACACTCTTCGTCGTGCGTCCAAACATGCCTTTTGCGCTTCTCTGGGTTCTTCTCTTGTGAAGTCCCTTGCGGTGCTTCCGGTTCCACAGACATATTTGGGTTCCACAATGGTTATCGTCTCAGTAAATTAAACAACAATGGAATAGCTGATAATTCGGGATTTGGACAAATTTGCATGGAATAATTACTGAGCGCATAAAAATTTTATGAAGTGTCGAAATGCTAATAAAATTTTCTTTTGTTGAATCGAGTGGGCAAAACGATGGTTATAGGAAAAATGAACCATGGGCCTAATAAACGCACATGCCATAGGTATTCAGCATATGCCGTTATAGAGATCCGGCGTAGGGCGGATAGTTTTTACGCGTCACAGCATGACGCTAGGTTACAGCTGCTAACGTCGCGAACGGACGTAAAACAACCCGGAACCGAAGGTTCCACATGGAACCGAAGCCGAACTCAACACAAACCGTGCAATCTGAAATAGGCTATAGTATAATGCAGTACTGCTACAACATGTGCTACACCACGTGCACATGGTGTAGCATGTGGAAGGTGGCCGCTCGGCAGTCGGCACGATTGACGAACTGAGCAGAAAATTGTTAATGATGAATCATCTTTACAGTACAAGTACAGATAGGCACTGCGATGTACAACAGATACACAATAATTTTATACGAGTTGTGTGCTACAATACTTTAATTTCCAAAGCGCGATAACAATATCAGGAGCTAGCTCCGGTTAGTACAAAACAACCTTCTCGACGGTACCGTCACCGTCACGGTACCTATAAGTCTATAACAAAAGTGGTATTTCCACGTTGAAATTGCTAAAGAAATGTTTTGCTTTAAAAGCTCATGGCGCGATTACTCGAGTTATTACTTGTACTACGTACAATTCTAAAACAGCTTAGCATTTCTATTAGTCTGTACTCAGTAGCCATCGAAGTAATAAAACCCACAAACGCGGGCGCACCACTTTACAGTCGAAATTTTAAGCGTTGTTCTGAATATATTGAAAATATACTGCCGAGCTGTGCCTTTTACAAAGTAGCATTACTCTATGTACTAAAATAAGCAGATCGGCTGAGCGAATAATATAACTCAGCATTAGAATATTCAGGCGAAATTTAAAAACTGGAAAAATAGACTGAATACGGAATGTAAGCGACCATGGCACGGAGGCACAAACGGTTTGGATAACGTTCAACGCATAAAGTTGCGAATGCCAACGTTCCTTTCACTTTATGTTGATTGGGCTTGTTCAATGTAGTCCAAGAATTCTTTGTATTTTTTCTGGCAGTCGTTGTTCGGCGGTGAGTAACATGCCAGACACATTTTCACGGAGTTTTCCGGATCGGATACGGAAGTCGGAAAGTACAGTTCGTCCGCGTTGACAAGCAGCTACGATGGACTCTTGAGACTCGCTATACTGTATATTCCGTCATTCTGAATGACCACTCCATCTGTTTGAACGAGATGTGTGTGGCATTTGATGAGCACTTTCCCTTTTGTACAGTTGACAAATAAAGGAGCACCAAGAGGACAGGGTAAGTGACTATCGATACACGATGGAAGGGGGATAGCCGGCGGAAATGTACGTTGACTGCAAGAAGTTTACTTTTGTTTCCCATTCTATTTAAAACGCATGGCTGTTTGAGCGGTTTTAAGTGCTGATGTTTGAGCGCTTTTAACTTTTCTTTTAACGCGATTCGCCATAAAATTGGTCAGTGATGTTTGTTTCTGAAATAGCGGACAAAACAACATGGGATTTACAACATGTTAGAATTGTTTAGCGTGTACTGTGTCATTACGATTAATCGTTAATTTCGTGGCACGAAACGTGTCAGTGTTCGTAAACGCACTTTTCGATCCAAATAGCCATGTACATAAATACTGCTCAAGAATATTATATTAATCACTGTATATGCTTTAAGAAGATGGTTCAGTGCGTATTGGAAAGGACTGTACAGAAAACGCTCGTTGTATTACCACGCATGATTTTTGAATGAACATGCAACAAAAACAAACAGTTTGGCCGGCTTGCGGGCGTTCAAAGGAATAAATTTTGGCCTAAATCCTTCATGGACTTTACCGCATCTAAAATGAATCCATTCAGAGCGAAATTAGGTACAGAAGCGCTGGCAACAGCATCAACGGTACCTCCGTCATCGCTGGCCGTTTCGGGAACTGATTCTTCAGTACTGTCCTCTGTAAATGCACTGCATTACGTCAGCTTGCTTCACAACATTACGATTCTTGCACTGATAAGGAACCATTGCTATTATTACGCCTTACCAGAAGACACGCTCTCATCCCGGCGTTGCCGCTCAAGAGCTGGCGCGAGTGATACTGACCGTTAGAAGCGCAAGACACACAACCAAGTTCCACATTTCCATAACGTATTCGCGTGACACGGCTGGAGAAACGAAAAATGCAAAGTTCGACTGTAAGCTTTGATCATGTAAAGATTCAACTGAAACCGCGTAGTGTGTACTTTAGCGCGTTTTTATGGCGGCAGTTGTTGTCATGCGGAAAAATCCGGTTTGAAGCCGCATGTACAAGCTTGTCCGGTAATTTCCTACGTAAAGGTACAGCTAGCGCGAAATTTGCGCTTAAAACGATGGCCACGTCACTACGCTTTATCTGATCTGCCTAAATCCGCTCCGCAGTTAGATTGTCCATTACCACACGGACCGCTTTTAGCCACCTTTCGCCAGGCAGTTACTGTTATTCTCATTGAATTATATGGCATGTACCAAGCCACCAGCCAGCGAAATGCAAGTTACGTGTTTAAACAGTGTGGCGTGGCGCGCCGTAGTGTGAATTTAGGCATAACACGCAAATCTGTGTAGTTCGCTGTATTGATTCGTCAGAAATTACCGGACAAGCTTGTACGGTCTATTGATTAACATTATCATATTATGTAGTCGGTTTGATTTATTTATTCTTAGTAATCTCACCAACAGTGGAATGAAACCAAAACATGATGAAAACCCGATAAACATATGATCAGTGCATGATCCAGGCGTTGTTGACCATACAAATGTAACCGGTAACAATATTAAGGAAATGATTCGCTATATGGTACCAAACTGGTGTAAATGAACAAAAACCGTTCGCTTTCTCGCATCTCCTAACACTTTTTTACATTTATTTCCGATAAACGTGCTCAGTCATGCTGCGTTCATGGTAAGCTGGTCACAACAGAAAGCCACAACTTGATGATCCTCCTCGGCAACCGCTTTATGATCCTCCTCGGCAACCCCGGACATGTTTCCCGTGTTCCCCTGCCACCATGCCCAAAAACGGTAACTGCCATGTATTCATATAGTGTAGAATCGTAGTTTATTGTATCATACTGGTGACGGAATGTGATGAATTGAAACTAGAGGAACACCAAAAACAGGCGAAAGTTGCTAAGAAGATTACAACAAAAGTCACAAAAGGAACGTAACAAAAGTACAGGAAACACGCCAACTAAATATGCAGCAACCCTTCGGGGAAGGGGTGACACGAAGGTTAGACGAAAAAGGGAAAATGTTAACTTCGCATCAGTTATCTAGGTGTTATATCCTTCGACATATGTATTCAGGTCTGTCATAGTGCGCAGACACCACATTTTGCTCATGTCGAAAAAAAAACAAGTTTAGGATAAGTTGATAGCCACAGAGTTAACGATGATTCGGATGACCTTGACCGATCACGTCAAAATGCTCTTGGGTTGAATGGCAGTTCCTTGCACGCATTTAATAAATGCATTTGGAATCTACTAAAGCGCAACTTCTCAAAGTCCCACAGGTCCGCTGCTGCCCAGTAATTGTCACGCAAAAGGTTTTCGTCGAACGTATGCCTGCGAAACGAGAAAACAGACGTGTTGCATTTCTCAGCTTTGATAGAACGTCCTCTAAAATGATGACAAGGA